ATCCTTTTCTTATAACTTGAACTAGGCTGTTTACTCATAAATCAGTATCTCCTGTTCTGTCCTTTAAACTGGGCACCAATTCTAAGTTTTCAACTGTTTATTGGGAATTTCTATTCAGATATCCCATTATCACTTTATATTTAATATGTTCACGCCAAACTTACAACCTTCCCATTCCAACTAGCTCCGTGATTCTATTTTCTTGCCGTGTTGAACTCTTCGGACAAAGTAGTAAAATTACTACTGTTATTATTGCAAATAGAAAAGTGAGTTTCATGAAACAACTTTTTGAAAGGCAGACAAGGTCTGTGGTCAAAACGGTTTCTCCCAGAGAAAGCTAATACAATAAACCTGTTTCCAACAGAATTAGTCAGTGTTAATGCACCTTTCCTGAGGAACTTTAAGAAAATGTACGATATATAGAATTTCCACCTGATTTTCTTTGCCACTGCTTTACTATAGTGGGAGAAGTTTAGTTAGCATTAGATCAGTTCCACCGGGTAAAATAAAAGGGAGGGGCACTAGTAACAAATATGTCACTAACTCCGGGGTTAGTCATTCAAATGCCACACAATCGCTGGGGTTATTCACACAACCAGAGAGGTTCCAGAAAGTTTAGGGATGCTAACGGAGCTCCGTCAGTTACCAGCCATATTATCCCCTCTGGACGTGTTTCCTCATCTGCAGTGTGGCAGCGAGCTCTAGCTTGCACAGCCGTTGTGACGATTCCAGATACTTCACATGAAACATCTGGCTCCTAATTATTACAATCATTATCCTCCCCGAATCAACCATTTTAACATATAGGAAGAAGTGGAAAGTTGCTAAGTCCCTTCCGCTCTGACCAACAGACAGAAATCTATCATTACTTCGAGTAAAATCCCTCAGCCCACAGTGAACTTTCTCTTTGAGGCGCTCGAATCGTTCCCTCTGGTCTCGCCTCGGCAGGTATCCTCAGGGGACTGTTTGAGGTCTCTCCTCACGCTCTGCCGGACTATAAAATGGGACTTCCTTGGCGGAGAACACCCAAGAGCTGGATTTATTTTGTTTGAAGCGAATCAGCATCTCCAAGGCTAAAATAATCGGCAAGGGAGGCAACGAGGGAGAGTTTGGACCCGGGATTTCTCACCTCCGCCAGCGCTGAGGGCGCGAAAGGAGGGAGGTCGCTCCGCGGCGGGGCGCGGAAAGAGCGAAGTCGCACGACTCAAGGGCACTCGCACTTCTTCCCGAGCCCTCCACCACCGCGTAGCCCTCTAGTCTGGCCCGCGAACCCGTTAGCTCACCCGAGACGCCCCGCTCACCTGCACGCAGCTTTCCTGGGCCTTCAAGGCCTAACCCCTAGTGGCCGCTTGCCTTCGCGTCTCCCGGCAACGGGGGCTGGTCGCGGTGAGGCCCCCTCCTCCTGATTGGCCAATCCTCGGCCTTCGCTCAGTGAAGCGAGAGTGAAATGCTCTCGCGAGGTTTGAGGACTAACTTCTGTTACCTCGATACCTCTGGAAGACAGGGAAAACGGCGAGTTGGCTAGGGAAGAATATTTTATTTAAAAACCTTGGTTTTCTTTGTAATCAGAGTAACCTCTCTTGATTGTGTGCATGACCTGAACTCACTCCAGCGAGTTTTATCATATCGCTGTGCAACATCATTTGTAATACATCAGACTTTTTAATAAGAATTATTTGAAGTTATTCCATGGTAGGCAGCATTCATTGTAGTCTTTTTGTTTCTCATAAGTAGTAGTTTCCTTCCTGTTAGAAGGAAGGAATACAACATACACGATACAGCATTAAGTACTGATGCGATTCTGGTACCATGTTTCATTTCACTGAAAGCTTTATACCTTTAGGCTTCCTTTCAGAGTTATTTTGTGAGGGCTGAATTAAAAGCAAAGTTGTTTTAAAACAATGTTTTTTAAACATGGTTTTTTAAAAAATGAGAATTACGTCGTCTCAAATCCTATTTCTCTAATAAAAGTAACTTGCAGTTTGTTTTTTTTCCAGTCTTCCTATAGACAGCTTAAATATGATGGGAGTTCAAAAAAAAATGTGATGGAAGCTCTAAACATACATACATATTGGACTTTTAACATTTTCACATTATTGCCATCTTGCATACTTTTTTTTTTTTTTTTTTGCTTTTTTTAGATTTAATTTCATAAGAAGAACCATCCTCGGGAGTCTCTAGAAAATACAGGCTAGTGAGCACTTACTGAGCTACAAAGAGCATTCAGTTAACTGTACAAAATAAAACTGTTAAAGGCACGGGGGAGGAAGAAAATGCAAGCTCATGGAATCCAGGATATGTGACCAAACTTCCGATGATGCTGGAATTTTTCCATGGATTTTGAAGAGCAGCACTGGGTCCATCCATCTTAAGAGTCTCGTACCCAGAGCTTAGCCAACTGGGACCTCAACAGCACTTCCTATTTGCTAGTATTTGAAGGAGCACAAGAATGAGATATTTGGATTCGTCACTGGACACCATCTGAACAACAGCTTTTGGCTTCCTTAGAAACCACCAACGTGACCTAAAAAGGGAGTCTTCAGGGTCAGAATGGATAGATTCCACAGGTCGCCTCACCATCAGAGCACCATCCTCTGAGACGCACTTTGGGGCTGCAGTCCAGGGGCTGAATGGCAGCCCTCACGGCCATGCAGCAATGGCTGGAACTGCCAGGCCACTCGAGGGGGACCCAGCTGGGCTGGCATGACTGGTGCTCCCTGATACAGCCAGGAGCGAGTGGCTGAAGGTCCTGGAAGCTCCTTGCACAGGCAGGCTGCAGTCTGGTTCCTTGTGGGCAGCAGTGCAGAGCTAACTGTGGGCCCCCCTGCCTCCCCCCGGGCACGCCACCAAGAGAAGGCCCAGGAGAAAGGCCGAGAGAGACGCAGCTCTGCCAGCTCTGGACCGGACCTGTTGTGAACGGCTGCTTCTACCTCTAGAGACTGGAGAGAGAAGGGCAGGATCATCATACACGGGGCTCGCTCAGAGCTCGCAGCTGTCTGCCCTCTGCCCACAGGCCCCAGGCTGACTCGGCCAACCAAGCAGGCCCCAGAGAATCGGTCTGCAGAGCTGGGCCTGCTGTGCGGGCCCCGAAGCTGCTCACCTTTAGGCTGTAGCCAGCAAG